TATTTACAAGCTATTTAGAATAACAAACACTCAGACGCACACACACTCACGGACCCACGCAAGTACATATATTCTTATCTCTGGTTTATACTGAATGCTGGTAAAGGCAATGAATGCTTTCAGAGCCCATGATCAGAAAAGGGAAACCCATTTTCCTTCCTCACACAGATCTTCCTGAACCACTTTTAGTATTCTTCCTTCCATTTCCTCATGCAGAGCTCATTGTATAGGTTAATCAGTTTTTTACAATTTATTTTTACTTAAACTATAAGCTTTAAAAAGCATAAGCAGACATGATTTCCCCCACATTTCTGTTATTTTGGTTGCAGAATCAAGTTTCACACATAAAAAATCTTGTTTAACCACAGTCACTCTAAACCCAAGAGTCATCTGGAGCAGCCATCTCAATTTCTACCTGCTACTCTGTTTTGAATCCCAGGGTATTGTGTCATCTGTGCAAGTAACACCCAGGCAGCCATCCTTCCCACCATCTTACATGCCTGTTGTTCCTTCTAGCGTGGCTCCACTGAATCATAAATTGTTAGGTGCAGAGCTGAGGGCATAAGAAAAAAGGCCTGACCCTATATAACAGGTATAAGTCTTATGACAGAGTTGTCACATAACCTTGCGATGACAATCGACTCTGGTTCCCCCAAAGAATGTTGTGTTGCCTCCATAAAATGGCAGATATTAAAGTTTAGCTCGCAAATAGAACTTATCTACTCTACTTCAGGAAGAATATGTGGCTGATAGGCAATAAAGAGAAATTCTTATCATACATAATTCTTGACAGATGACTCTGGTGTGGTGATTCAAAGCAGAAAATATACCTGTTTCAAGCAAAATTAATGCTCCACTCACATACCTATCAGATCTATTTGTATAATAATTAATTCCTTTCCAGTCACAATTCTTACCAAAACATTTCACAAGTTAAAAATGAGAAGGCCTAGGTGTATACCAACCAGATTTTTTCAACAGAGAAATGAAGAAGAGAGGCTAGTTTTTAAATACTTAGTTAAAAACCCCTACAGATATCCAATGTAATATTAAAACTTATGCTGCACAAATACATGGTCCTATCTGACTTTCCTCTTTCTCTACATCAATAAAACTCAATGTCCACGTTAAGACTGAAACCAAAGTTCAAAGGCCATTAACAGGTTCCAAGTATCATTTTAGCCTTGATTAACATTATTTTTCCACTCATTTTAGAACTAAAGGAAAAGCCTCTGGAATAAAAATTGATGTTGTATACCTTCTCTGGACAATTTATCATATCAAAGGAAAATGGACTGGGTCTGTGTCCAGGCAAAGTAATTTTGTGATTATATTACACTACAGAAAAGAGTAAGAATGAATCCCGAGGGCTTAAACAAAGGGGTGGAGGACCGTCTATATTAATGAAAGAATAAGGAAGATAAACAAAAAAGTAATCTGAGTAGCAGTTTATAGTTTAATAGCTAGTAAACATAAATTCCAAGACTTCTTAAGCAAAATTACCAAGGTATCTTTTTCTCAAGTCATATATTTAGGAGGAAAGATTTTTGAAAGTTAACTAAAAGAAGATAATTTTAGACTCTGGGCAAATCATAAGTTTAAAAGACCTCGTTCTGGATGGATGACTCAATGCAGCAAGCCACCAAATGAAGAATTTCTAAGCAGAGGCAGAAGGATGCTACTCGGAAGCAAAGTGGAATTTATTAAGGCTAAGCTACCCTTGCTTAGATCTGAGGTTGTTTTTTTATATTTTGATAGAATATAGAAAAATAAAGCAATCCAGGAAGAAAAACACATCTTCCTAATGAGCTTAGTCTCTACATAAAAACGTATTTTCATTGCCTGACATCTGGTACACAGAGTAATTTTCCACACCTCACTCAGGATAGAAACACTGACTACTTCTGTTTCAAGGATTAGTAAAAGTATCTCAGATACACTTGAAATATTTTTAAAACCACTTCAAATCTAATGGAAGCTCATCTTCCAATAACAGAAACTCAGAGAAGGCAGAACACTGATGAAGTTTGTTCATTAATTTCCTGAAAGGTAATTAATCTCCTCTTACCTTAAAAATATACAGCCTCACCACCTACTCTTCCAAGCCCCTTAAATATCAACAGCTTATGTTAATCTAAACTCTTGGAAAATTTAGAATTCTTTAGAAAAATGTGAACATTTAAAGTTTCATCAAGTATTGAAAATGGTGTAAAAAGAGGGCTCACGCCAAGTTATAAGCTGGAAGAGTAACCAAAAGCTTAACTTTGAGTTATAAAGTGATTTTTGCCACTGAATGACAGGAAATAAGAAAAAAAAAAAGCTAACAATTTATAATTCACTCCAGGACTCTCTCTCAGAAGAAGGAAAAAACAAAATCAAACAAGAAAAAGACCAGAAAGATATCAATGAAACTCTGTTTAAGGGAAACGCATAAAAAGCTAGTATTTTAATTCCATATTCTTATTTTCAAATTATGGAATTCTGAAAGTTTTAGCAATTGTGAACTGAAGATGCTAGTGTATATGCTGGAGTCTTGCACACTAACAAAGTTAATCAGGGAATCTAAACAAACAGCTCACTATTCTCCAAGGTGGGGTGGGAAAGGTAGAGTAAGACAGTACGATCAACTTACTTAATGGAAGCATGTATATTTGTACGTAATAATTCAGGTCCAATTATTGTTAAGACATGAATCTTTCTTTGAATTATCACTGCTTCCTCTGACATAATTATTAGAAAAGTACTTTGATTTTCAAAAGACTATCAGTTTTAGACTTAAAAAAATAAGAACAGGGCTCCTGGTAGGGGTCCCTAATTCATAAATTCACTAAAGGGCTATCTGATAATAAAATTCAACTTGTTTTGAGATGAATGTCCATAGTTGCTACCCCAAATCAAGACCCAATATATATGTTCTGTATAAAATCTAGTCTTATGTTTTTAGACTATGGTAATGTGTTTAACAATTGGGGGTGGGAAGTTAGGAATAAAAATAATTCTAGCCCTTCAGACTGAATCATCTGAAGCCAGGTTTTTTTTTTACCCCCATGTAAAAAATGAATTATCTTCCATTTAAGATTGAAAGGGCTCCATTTATCTTCCCATCTAGGTAATGACCATGAAAAGATCATATTCATTTCAGAAAGAGAAGCAGCAGGAATTGTAACTCCTTTGAGAATATCTTAAATAAATATAGACGGTTAGACAGACAGATCATATATTCAGTTTCAGAAGAGGAAAATAAAAGCCTGAACCTTAATGACATACTGTGAATTTGCCAAAATGAGGCAAATACAGAATACAGAATATCATGACAATATCAGGAAAATACATTTTAATTGCTCAATTTAGCAAGGGTACCCTTTGTGTAAAGGTTCAGGAAATCACTCGACAAATGTTTTTAAACAGTAAATTTTGCAAAGTGTGAAGTATGGAAACATCAGCACGAGGCACACTAGGTCCTAAATTACCACAAAAATATTAAATTAGAAAAGAGCCAAACAGATGAAAATGCAGTCGGGTGGCGTACATCAGCTACTTAGTTTTCCTTCCTTCTACTGAAGTGTTACGCTACTCTGGAGGAGCAACAGTAGGGAGCGAGGAGAGAGACAGCTCTCTCCTATCATCTCATCAGAAGACACTTGAAGCCTGTGCCGTCCAATACAGGAGCCACCTGGCACACCTGGCCAGTGAGTACTGGAAATACGACTGGCGCCATGTGCTGAATGAGTAACACTTTGGGTGCATTGGATTCACTAAATTACAAGATTAAAATCGATTTCACCTGCTTCTTTTTACTTCCCATTTACAGCGGGGTAGAAAGATGGCTGCTCCTAAATGCTCAGAGGAGATATACAGTCGTCTTTGGAGTTTCACACAAAGGGGGAAAGTTTTCTGAGGGCTCTAAAAAATGCCAAAAGTTGAAAATTAAATCTAAACTGCAGTTTCCACCCAGCCCAATTGTAAATCTGAATTATATATTTCCCTGAATACACACATATTTTTAAAAAAAAAAACAATAAAATTTATGAGACATTATTAAGTCAATTTCACAGTTATAAATATTTCAAATTACACCTACACACTATAAATTACAGGAAATAAAATTCAAGTAATAGAAAAAGAAGAGAGGAGCAAAATAAAAGGCGAGGTTATTTAGAGAGGGATATAACAGTAAGAACTGCACCATTGGGATAATTTCGTTTGAAAAAATTCTGCTTGACTAACTGAACTGCATGTGAATAACTTCAAGAGCTAATAACTCTTACAAGAAAAGCAACGAATTCTTTCTTTAAATTCCCGGTTGTTCATCTCTGTCTTTGAAAAAATCTTTTCTTCCCAGCACTGACCCCAGCAGAGCTTGCCCCAAGTGGAGAGAAGCAGAGGGCCTGGCGCACACCTGGTGCTGGGGCTCATCTGACATGTGGACACAGGAGTTGGCAGTAGTGTTCACAGGACCGATGCGCTGTTATCTCCGGGAAATGCTAAAGGTGAAGCTCAGTGTGTCTTGCGATTTAGCGTTCATTTTAAAGAAAACACCCAATGTACTGGCATGAAGTACACACCCTAACAGAAAATGAGCAGCACGGTTCCTGCTATGTATGTTTAAGGAAAGGGAAGGGGTTAATCCCAAAGGCAATTTTTAAATAATGGTATTTTATTTTTATATATAAATAAATGTTCTGAGAAATCTCAGACTTTAGTGCATTGTTGTAAAAAATTAGTGCAGTTTTCTCATTAAAGTTTTTAGCGCTCAAGGAATAAGATAAATCTATGTCTGTTCATAGTCTCTTTCACTGTACATTAAACGTTCACACTGCTAAATGTCTAACTGAAGGTTTCTATACTGGTCTGTTCTTAAAAATCAAGGTAAATGGATTTCATGTTCTGTGACAAAACATGGCAATTATTTTTGGCAAAGAAATTAGAAAAATATGAGATCGCAGTTTAGAAATGAAGAGCTTGTTGATGTAAAGCATAGGCAATACATAGGAAAAAGCTTTTTTTAAGGATGTATTTTTAACAGAACTTTATCCTTCATGCAAAATGTTTTCTCGGCAGCTAACTTAAAAAAATATTTCAGCTTTATTTGGGGATGGAGACAGTGACAGGAGTCAGGGTGAAGGGCGAAGGAGAGGCGCTTAACCAAGCCCGCTCTCCGTCCAAGTCTCTCCCATACAGGAGCAAAGGAATACCTGCAGGCATCTTCCACGCTCTCCTCTCTTTTTCCAATGTCTTGGAATGGAGAGGGCAAAGAAACGTAGTTATAAAACACTGGCTCACACTTCAGCCCCAAGTTCTAGTACCCCCGTTTCAATGACAGTCACATATTTATCATCAATCTGGACCAGAAGTACTGTCTTGTCGATGTGGGATCTAGTACCTGGATCTCTGCTGCAAGGCACCCATCGGTGAATCACCTAATGATTCAGAATACAGTAAGTTAGTGAGAGACCTTGAAAACATTCACAAAATTCACGCAAAATTAGAGGTAGTAATTCTGTTTGGTAATTTAGCAAAAGGTACATTTAAAAAAACATACACATAAATTGGCCAAACACATGCAAACAAGTCAGTCAGGCTACAAAAAAGTGAGAGCATGGGTCAGCTTCGTGAGAGAACTTACATGGCCTTCCATGCCCTCCTGAGGACTCCAGTCTTTCCAGCTGTTTCTCCCAGCTTTTAACCGAATAGACTCCTCAGGCCACTGCAGCTCTTTCCTTTTTGACAGATTGATCCCATCCAGAATCTGACTGGGATCGACAATCTATATTGCAAATAAATACGGGTCATTTCCAATTCAATTTTTTCTCGATGATGACAAATTACATAATACCAAACAAAATTTCTCTCACAGACTCTTTGCATCTCAAGTTCTCCACTGCCTGTAACTGAACAAAAAACAATCTAGAGGGCCACCTCCTGAATTCCTTTTAGCCTACTGGCTGACCTTACTGCAACGGCCACATGACAGCAGCTGAGCAGGGAACAAAACCACTGGAATGCTACCTGCTTTCAGTTCTTTACACTGGCAGAAACTTTTTTCAACATTCAAACATATCCTAGTCTTCAGACTAAGTAAGAAGGTGTGTTCTCATCAGAATCCTTCACTTGACAAACGAGAAGTAAAAACAAATGAGTGACACAAACAGCACAAGAACCATGTGCTTACTCACTTGGACTCGGTAAATCACATCCCCCCTTTTGGTGTGTGAATTATTGGCAGGACTTAAGGTGTTGCCTGGCTGGGCGTCAGCGGCACTGCTCTGACCTCCCTCTGTCCCAAGAAAGCCCACGAGAGTGTGATGTTTGCAGGCTGGGATGCTCTGGCTGGAGCTGCTGGAAGAAGGCAGGCCATGCTGCACACAGGCCATGCCGCTCTGACCGGAGGGCTCCATCTGGTTCACCATAGAGAGGCGGGACTGGATGGAGGACGGTAAGTTTCGAAGTGATATCTGACTCGTGGAAGAGCGCCGACAAGGCACAAATCCCGTGGTGGACATCCGGAGCGATGAGTGCCGGCTGCTGTAGCAGTAAGAAGACTGGCTGGCCACTGAGGCGCGAGCAGGGGACTGTCTGACCAGGCTTGACTGTACCGAGTGGGAGCTGTGGCTAGTGCCTAGCGAAGGATAAACAACAACAGCATTCTAAGTGCAATGATTCAAACACGGGGTGTTTTGTTTTTTTCTTTGTAGTTTCTAAGAGATTTTCCCTTAAGTAATTACTTGGTCAATTCACTGAATTTAAATTATACCTAAAACTTTTTTTAAAAAAGTTTATATTTATACCTACAACTTTTTAAAAAAAGATTTTATTTGAGAGAAAGAGTGCAAGAGAGCATGCAAGCGTGCACATGCACAAGTTGGGAGAGGGACAGAGGCAGAGGGAGAGAGAGAATATCCAACAGACTCCCTGCTGTATGTGGAGCCCGATGAGGGGCTTGATCTCCTGACCCTGAGATCATGACTTGAGCCAAAACCAAGAGTTGGACGCTTAACCGACTGTGCCATCCAGGCGCCCCATACCTAAAACTTTTAATGTTGTCAAAAAGAAATAAATATCTGAGATCTGTTTTCGATAATAATTTTAATTTGCTAATGCTCTTTAAAATTAAAATTCTGGAACAAAAGCAAGACATATAATTTCAGCAAATATCAGGATTTAACATTGAGATGAATCCTAAAATATATTCCACAGAAATATTTCAGAATAATAAGAATAACGCTTTAATATTTCAGAAATGAAGTATCTCATGAAATGAGACCATAAGAAATATTTATTAAGGATCTACTAAGGGGCAAGATCTGTAACTACTACTTCTCAAAAGTATAGAATTAATGTCCTTTCAATCCATTCCAAGGACAAACTGCACAGTGTATAGAGAGATGGTGATACCACACTGTAATTTTCATATCCATTAGGGGTTACTACTAAATATGAATTATCAGTGATACTGAATAGCAGGTCCTTCTGTGTGCTTTTTCAAATGGCTTGATATGATTCCTCAGGTTCATCTTTTTCCTGACTTTTAACAGTAATGTGAAGATTAAGAAATAATTAACTATATTGAAAAAATTGCTCCATGTACTTTCTATCTGAAAATAAAGAGCTGATCAAAATAAGAGCATTTAAAAAAGCACAATGAAAGTTCTAGCTTTTCACTCAGAAGTTACAAAAGAACATACAAAATGTTGGTGTAATACATCTATTTTGAGTCTTAATTCCAGTGCTATTGGATTTTTTTTTTTTAACTTAACAATAAATGTCTTAAGACTTATCTCATTCATGTGAAGCAGTAGGGGAAAAGACAGTACTGAATCAACCAACCAGCCATATGAAAACAGATTAAATATGATTCCTACTGCATACCAGGTGGATGACAGATCTTGTGTAAAAAGAAAATTAGTGAAAAACAAAAACAGAAAAACCAAACCCTCATGCGTTGGGATAGGATAAATTTTCTTAAGTAGGATATAAAAAGTACTAATCATAAAAGAAAAGATCAGTAAATTGCTCTACACTTTGTCAAAAGAAGAGGAGCCACCCTTCTTAGGAAGAGAATGGAAAGACAAGGGATAGAATGGCAAAAGGTATTTGTAGTACAGAAAGCTGAGAAAAAACTCAAACACAAAATATACAAATAAGAAAAAGATAATCATGGAACTAGAGGGTATTATGCTAAGTGAAATAAGTCAGTCAGTGAAAGACAAACATCCTATGATTTCACTCATATGTGGAATTTATGAAACAAAACAGAGGAACAAAGGGGAAGGGAAAGAAAAAGAAGATAAAAACGGAGAGGGAAGCAAACCATATGAGACTCGTAACTATAGAGAACAAACAGGGTTGCTGGAGGGGAGGTAGGTGGGGGGATGAGGTAAATGGATGACGGGCATTGAGGAAGGCACTTGCTGGGATGAGCACTGGGTGTTGTATGTAAGTGATGAATCGCTGGATTCTGCTCCTGAAACCAGTGCTGCACTGTACGTTAATTAACTTGAAATTAAAATTAAAAAAAGAAAAGAAAAAGATAGCCAAAGAGAAAAATGGGCAAGAGACTTAACAGGTACTTCAAAAAGAGGAACAGGTGATAAACTGATTTAAAACCTTCCAATCTTAGGTATCAGAGCAACGTAAATTATAACAATGAATTAAAGGTCACCCTTCTCCCGTCCCTCTCAGCAAGCAGGGAGCAGAGATGGGAACTGATAATACTCCACGCTGGTGAAAGGTTACAGGATGGGCATTCCGATGTATGACCGGGGAGAGTGTCAATTGGTAAAAAACAAACAAAACAAAACAAAAACAAACAAAAACTTGCTAGAAAGATTTTTGGCATTATGTGTCATGAATCTTAAATATTCTCATAAACTTTGACTTAATGATTGCATTTTTAAAGTCTCTAGCCCAAGAAAATAGTGATTACAAAGTTTATTATAACATTCAGGAGAAACCAAATCATTGTCCAATGAAAGAGAAGTTAAATAAATTATACTAAATATTATTAGCCTTTAAAAATGATTACTTTTAAAGAAATAATATTCCAAATAATACACATATTTAATATAAATAGGATAATGTCCAACCAGGAATCAAACAAAACATTCTTTTTACATATTCCAAGTAGGTATACAGAATTCTCTCTTTTTTCTTTTTGAGAGAGAGAGAAGAGAGACACAGAGAGAGAAAGTGAGCACACACCCGTGAGTGGGAGGGTAGAGGGGCAGGGGAGTTGGGGGGTGGGGGTGGGGAGGGACAGAGGGAGAGGGAGAGAGAGAATCCCAAGCAGGCTCCACGCCCAGTGCGGAGCCCGTCTCAGGGCTCAATCCCACCACCCTGAGATCATGACCTGAGCTGAAATCAAGAGTCTGACGCTTAACTGAGCCACCCGGGCGCCCAGCAGATAATTCTCTTTACACATGCATACTAAGAGGCTAAGTTCAATACATACTTTTGTTTTCAACGTTACCTAATGCTGGAGGATAAGATGTGACCGGTGGATGGAGTCCTGCTCCCGACCCTGGCGCTGGATTTCCAGTGCTTCCCTGGGACACATTGCTATGGGGGTCACTGGCACTCGTGGCATTGTTGCTGGTGCAGGACATCCCACCTCCAGTGTCCGCATCTTCAATATTGCCACCGCTGTTACAGCCAGCCCCACACCCTTTCCTTAACCTAGGAACACACACCAGAGTAAGCAGCATTACCCCCCGATCCCTTCAAGACAGGTGTCTTACTCTATTTCTAGCTATTCTGAATGGTTAATGCTACAAATGTTCATCTTTGAAAGTCTTCATGGTGCAGTCAGTATTAGAAACAAAAAAAAAGGCAGCTATTTTTTCAAAGAATGGCCTAAGAACTATCCCCCCCTTATTCTCACTGCCTCAATTATTCCCAATCTACCTTCACTTTTTATCATCTTTCCCAATCTTTTCATCTTTCCTTAGCCATAATAAACTGCACATAACAAAACTGTACCATTAAGATAGCAATAGGATTCTTGCCAGTGCCTGTTCAGTGCCTCTGAAGTGTGCAACCCCTGAAAACCTTATTTCTGCTGTAGGGCACTTGGAAGAGAGCTGCTGCAATCATTTTTCCTTTTTTTTTTTTTTAAATGTAGGGTGACCAACTATCCTGGGTTGCCCACAACTGTCTCAGTTTGGCACTGAAAGTCCTGCTTCCCAGGACACTTCTCAGTCCTGCACAAACCAGCACAGCTGGGCACCTTAATCTCTACACCATTTCTCTTGAGGGAAGAGAACTCAACCTCTTTAATGCGATTCCAGCACAATGGATAATTTTTGAAAAGAAATTTCTTCGAACACCTCTGTGGTTTATGTTCTTCTTTCTGTTTGGATAGGGACTGATGTTAAAATGGTGCGACTTTTTTTTTTTTTTGAGTATGCCTGTTTGAGAGTTTGCCACCCTAATCCCACATTCTGTTTTTCTTAAGTTCTGTTATTTAAGGATCTAAACAAAAGCCTGTAAGAAATTGAAAAGATACTCTATGTAATTTTTCTTCACTATCCACCAAACTATGATGTTCCTATACTGAACACCATAATTTACTAGACAAAAGGCAGAGAAAAAATTCATGTGCACATTCGAAGACACGACAGATTTGAGATCAGAGTGATGACTGGATTGTTAAAATGGCAGTAGTAGCACGTAACTAGGAGTTTCAGCAAGTACGGCGTGCTCCCCCTACTGCTAGAATGGAATAAAACAGCAGGTGAGCAACTTGTTCAACTGTCTTAGGTTTTTCGCTAATTTGCTGTTTGTTGGCCCACACATCCTAATAGTCGCACTATGCTGCAATACAGAGTAAAAAACTTATAGAAAAGAGAACTATTCAAGATTCTACGAAATGCTGGATCAGTGGTTCTTAACCAGAGTTGTACATGAGATTTATCTAATTAAGAGTCTGAGGATAAAAATGCCCAGACTACTTTCTAAAGTTCCTGACAGAATAGGTTTATATTGTGTCATGGCATCTGTATTTTTTCTATAAGCTTTCCAGGTGATACTCATGCAAACTGCCTCGATGAAGAGAGTCAGAACACACCACCACTGAAACATGCAACCACATAGCTCACCTGTGCCAGGTTGACACTATGAAGTTTCTGATATTTCCCAAACTGATAGGTCCCCCAAGGATTTCTTTAAGCTGTTCATGGCTGTCAGAGTAAGAAGTTGTCAGGGGTGAGACAAAGATTGGGTAGCCAATAGGCTGATCACAAGATGAGTTTATCATGTTTCTCAGAGCTTGTTTTGCATTTTGGATGCTACCTCTCTCTGGGTTACGGTTACGTAGAAAAACAAGCTCTTGCTGTTGTCCTGCCCAAAGACCTCGGACGCATTCCTTATTAACCTGAAAACCAGAACACATGGGAATTAGGTGAAGGGGACAAGAATGAAATTCATATAAACAGAAGAGTATAAATGGGAGGGATACAAAAGACATACGAGAACCAACTATGAAAAGCAGGAAACAAATACAAGTAGGTCACATTTAAATAGGAGTTCATCAATTTTCCATTGTCACCAGTGGGCTGTTAAATAATAAGCACACGTAGAACTCTTTTCCCTGGTCTGTCTGGTAAAAATACCAAGTTTTCCAAATCAGTAACGCACTGAATTTTATAACTGAGATAACAGATATATTTGATAGAAAGGAGCAGTAACAAATATTCAGAGTTAAAAGGATGTTTGTGACTTTGCAGGTTGATTAAATGAAGTAGATAAAAAGTGAATCATTATTAACTATTAAAATAGAATTTCAGAAATTATGTCTCCTAAAGCCGTGAGATGTTTTAAAAAGAAACAAACAAGGGGAGGTAGGTGGGGGGAAGGGATAACTGGGTGAAGGACATTAAAGAGGGCACTGGATGTAATGAGCACTGGGTGTTATATACAATTGATGAATCACTAAATTCTACCTCTGAAACTAATTTAAAAAAAAGACAAAACAACAACAAAAAGTACAAGCTATGGTATTATTTTGCAACCTGGAAATCAAATTAGCAATATAGTGCTGATCTTTTAAGAAGAAGTGCTGCCCAGAGAGCATATATAATAGATAAAAGACTGCCAAAACAGAAATAAGCAAAAATTTTAAGACTTTATGGCACATGAGAAAATTTCAGAGGATAGAAAAAATTACAAAATAAATCAAATTAAGTGCTCATAAACAATCAATGCTAATGTAGTATGGTCATTTTTTTTTTCTATAAAAAGAATTTCACTTTTTAAAGTTGGGATAAGGTTATGTAACTTCCATTTTTTTTCCCCAGACACAAATAAATGCTTCAAAAACTTACCTTAATGACCCTGAAGCTCAGGTAGCGTCTATTCAGCATGATGATCTTATATTCATTGGTGCCATCATCCATGACATGCCGCAGAGCGAGAAGGGAGGGAGAGTTGGCAAGGACTGCACTCCGCCATGCAGGGTCCCCTTCATGAGCTATTACGAGATTCTTTTCATGAGACACAATGGCTTCATAGAGCACAGTAGGGTCATCATACTCATCTGGAGAAGTGAAATGATCCTAAATAGAGAAATAAAAAATATAAACTTTACAGGAAGAGAAGGACTTCCAGTGGAATGATAAACACTTCTGCAGTTACTAATCAGTTACTAAATGAAAATTCTGAAAAACTGGTTTAATATGAGTATTTCACATCCGCACATATTATTATTGTTGGAGACAGAGAGTCTTAAATTTAACCAGGTTAGGAATTAGCTCATTATTGCCATACTACTTTCTTTTTTTTTTTTTTTTAAGATTTTACTTATTTGACAGAGAGGGACACAGTGAGAGAGGAAACACAAGCAGAGGGCGTGGGAGGGGGAGAAGCAGGCTTCCCACCGAGCAGGGAGCCCAATGCAGAACTCAATCCAAGGACCCTGGGACCATGACCTGAGCCGAAGGCAGACGCTTAACGGCTGAGCCAGCCAGGAGCCCCTGCCATACTACTTTTGTAACTTCTTCAACCCAACCCTATCTTCTAAGTTTTAAATAAACAAATATTTTACCAATTTTTATATATTTTCTTTTTCCCATTCAAGTGGGGTTTTACATGTCTTCATTCATACATAATTTTTTCTCTTCAAGGATCATCTCACTGGTATCAGTTAAGGAAGGCTAAGCTACATAAAAGTTCCCTAAGCAGTATTTTTTTTTTTTTTTAAGATTTTATTTATTTATTTGACAGAGAGATAGAGCCAGAGAGCACAAGCAGAGGGAATGGCCGAGGCAGAGGGAGAAGCAGGCTCTGCACTTGAGCAGGGAGCCTGATGTGGGACTCAATCCCGGGACCCTGGGATCATGACCTGAGTCGAAGGCAGACACTTAACTATCTGAGCCACCCAGAGCCCAGTAGTGTTTCTTTTTAACGAGGCATTTTTAACATAAAGCCACATCTCTAGAATGATTCCAATATAGTATTTTATCTCATGTAGTTAAGATAATAAATTAAGGGTCCTAGTCCTAAAGAAGCTAGTCAAGTCTTCCCTGAGAAATCTCTTGGTCTGTGTAACAACCACTGCTGCATTCCACAAGCCGTTATTTAATACCTCTCATGTGGGGGATTCTATGGCAGAGAGCACGGATGAAAAAGGCCTATGTGGAATCTATCCCCCCTTCAGAAACAGTGCAAATTAACAGGGGATCCAGGACATATACCCAAATAACCATAACATGAATCTGAACTTCTGAAGTGAAGAGTATACAATCATAGGTATTCATAGTTGGGAGGTTGATAAATTTTTACATCCAGGTAAAGTAACTCATTTCTACTCAAGCCAAGTGACCAGACTGTGTGTGATATCTGAGGGGAGATGGGTGAGTGTAAGAAGGCAAGCTCCCCAGTGATGCACCTCCACATCTAGCGACTAGCCTATGAATAATAAAAAAGTATTCACTGTATATGTGAATAATGCTTCATAATGTAAAAAGTTCTGCAACACGTTTTTTCCCTGAACTCTTACAACCTTGCCAAGCAGGTTCAGTACATACTACCGGCATTTTGCAAATAACAAATCTGAAGTTCAAAGTTCAAAGTAACAAATCTGAAGTTCTGCTTCCTAGGTTTGGAAAGTTAGTAAATGATTAAGCCAGGACTTAGAACACATGTTTAAAGAGAATTTATCATTCTGATTTTTAAAAGTATATGATTACAAATGTTAACTGAAAAACCTGTCAAGTCTAGCTGCTGTGATTAGGGAAGTTACACAATGCAGGTGGTTTTGAACTGGATCTGAAAGAAGGACAACGTCAGTGGCTGGAGATAGGCACTGTGCGGGACAGGGAGAGAGCTCCAGGCAAGACATCCTACAGGGGAGAAGCACAGGCCAGTGAAAAACACAAAGGTGATTATAGCCTAAAGTCTCTCTGGGGAATTGGGTTTCTATTACGTTGCCAGGCAGCACTGTGCTAGACCCTGGGTAAAGAGTAGTGAGCACGACAGATACAAGCACTGTTCTCATGGAACTTAGGGTCTAGTTAGAAAATACTAAAAAAAAAACTAAAAAACTAGCTTTTAGCCAGATTGTGGAGCATCTCCCCTGTACCTTGTCCAGATTTCTTTTACTGATCTGATGCACTCCCCACTCCAATGCTTTGAGCATTGGTTCTTAACAGCTCACAGTTATTCCCTCCTCTTAGAACTACCTTCAGTTGATGGAGCTGCCTGGGCAGGAAATGCCAGGGGAGGTGTGTTCCCTACTTGTGTGTGGGGGACTCAAGGTACACCATGTAACTCCTGGTGACACTGACACTCTAGAACTCATTCTAAATCCAGTGGAAGCTAGAATTTAGTTGAAACACAGTTTTGCTTAGCTCCTTCCCTGTTCTTTCCTGCTTCCCTCCCTTCCTTACAAATTCCCCTGAGGGCACCCTGTCATCTCTGGCACAGGAATCCTGGACTCCAACTCTGCTTCTAAAGAACATGGCCTAAGCTAGAATTTACAACTTACAATACCTCTGTACATCATACACCAACCCTCCTGACCTTTCTTTTAAATACTGAGCTCACTTTCCTATACCAGCAGATAGCTAGACATCATATGATGCGCTCTGCTTTAGGAAACAGTTCCTTTAGGGAAGGAATCCTATCTTTGTATAGTAGTGTTGGTACAATTTTTGAATGGAAAATAAAAGTGCAGACAGACGTAACAGTTATACTCTTAATAAAATGGACAAAGTTGGAAATTATTAGGCATGCCAAAATGGAGTATGCTGAATCTTGCTCAAATATTTCTTTTTTTTTTTTTAAAGATTTTATTTATTTATTCATGAGAGACAGAGGGAGAGAGAGAGAGAAGCAGAGGGAGAAGCAGGCTCCCAAGGAGTAGGGAGCCTGATGCGGGACTTGATCCCAGGATCCCGGGATCATGACCTGAGTCAAAGGCAGACGCTTAATCATCTGAGCCACCCAGGCACCCTTGCTCAAATATTTCTTTTCACTGGGCTTAAGATGGTTGGATGACTATTGTTTTAGAGGCAAAGTATTTGAAACAAGCAGAATGTCCATGAATAGGGAAATGGTTGAATAAACTGTAGTTTAAAATTATATCCTAGAATACTACAGAGCCATTAAATAAATATGTGCCTCTATATGTGCTGACTTAGAAAGTATCCATGTTATACTAAATAGGGGGAAAAAAGCATGTGTTACAGATCATTTTACGTAGCACAAAGGAAAATATTTGTACATATAGATGGAAATGTCTATGAACTCAGGAAAATCAGAAAATATATGCATCAAATTACTGGCAGTGACTGCTTCCTGGAAGGGCCATACAATGGTATGGGGTGATGGGAATACTCACTCTTGGGTGAAGCTCACTTTTCAACGGTTTTCATTATTTTTCAAATACAAAGAGAAAATGTTCCCAGTTCTGGGAAAAGTTTTCAAAGGCATTTTAAAAATATACTTGAAAAGTTACAAGCCAACGCACAGGATATTTATTTAAAAAAAAAAAATGAAACTCATTCATTTTACATTCACTGGCTGCCAAGCCTCGTGCTAAGCAACGAAGATATAAAGATTAGTAAAAAATGATCCCTGTCCTCAACCACACACTGTAAGATTTTCGTCATATATCACTTATAAGCCAAACTGGACTTTGATTATTTTTAAAGATTTTATTTATTCATTTTAAGAGAGAGAGAGACAGAGAGACAGAGAGCACAAGCAGGGGGAGAGGCAGAGGGAGAAGCAGACTTCCTGCTGAGCAGGGAGCCCTACTCGGGGCTTGATCCCAGGACCTGGAGATATGACCTGAGCTGTAAGGCAGACGCCCAACCATCTGAGCCACCTGGCACCTCTGATTAGTTTTAGTTCTAACAACCATGTAATCTTCAAAGAGACTAATGAAAAAGGTAAAACAAATAAGGAGGTAAAGTGTTTCACAAAATGATTAAATAGAGGACAAGAGCAGGAAAACATGTGAAAAAGGCAATCTGCTTAATTTCTCTGAGTTCTGAGTCTTCACCTACCAAACTGGGATGAAAACAATTTTCTGGATTGTGGTGGTATTATGTATGTGAGAGCACTAATATGCTGTACAACACTGAACATTTACTAAATATCACACAGATTATGACCATTTTTATTTATAAAGTAAAAACATAATACAGTCAATTGGAGAATTAAAAAATAAAAAAACTGTAAAGGAAAAAGTAAAAATTAAAAACACCTACAAAGTGTGCTAAACACACATTATCAAGGACTGTCTGAGAGGCAAGAGTTAAGAGAAATTTTATATTTCTAGCTTTCCGGGAACAAAACCTTTCCTTTACATAAAATAAATTATACCATTTTAAGTGTACAGTTACATGCATTTTGACAAATATGCACACCCATGTAATCACCACCACAATCTAGATCTAAAACTTTCCATCACCCCAAAAAATTCCTTCTTGTCTTTTGGCATTCAATCTCCACATCCTAAGGAATCACGAATCTGCTTTCTGTGGCTACAGACTAGTTAGATTTGTTTTAGATTTTATATAAATAAAATCATACAGTATGTGCTCTTTTTATGTCTGGTTTCTTCTGCTGTGTATAACGTTTGAGATTCATTCATGTTGTGGTATCTAACAATAGTTCATTTCTTTCTACTGCTAAGTAATATTCTATCCCCACATAGATATACCATAATTAGTATGTTCATCTGTTGATGGACATTTGAGTTGTTTCCAGTTTGGGGCTATTACAATTAAAACTGCTAGGCACACATGTGTGTAGACATAGACTTCCATTCTCTTACGTAATTATCTAGGAGGGGAATTGCTGGGTTGTATGGAATATGTATGCATATCCTTCCTTTTAATACATAAGCTTATTGTTACTTTTGTGGGATGGGTTTTCATGAGTATATAAATCATGAAATATGTGAGTATAATATATGAGTATGAACTTGGGAGATTACCAGTACCGATTTACAGATCTATCTTTTCTTGGCCCAGGAGTCCCTCATGGGCAACCCAACATCTGGCTCAAAACTCAGTTAAGTGGTTGTTTCTGGCTACTGTACAGGTCGATCTCACCCTCCTCAAACACGTATCAGAATTATGGAATTTCTCCAGGCTGCATTTGCGTTCTCTATCTTCCCCCCTGCCACCAGCCCTCCGTGGCTCCCGGGTTCCTGATTCCAACTCCTTACCCCCACTGTTTGTCACTGTTGTTAGTCATGGCTAATGAGAGTGAGCTCTAGCGTGCAGCCCAAGTGTGCTGGGCCAAATGTAAGGTAGAGAAACACCGTCACAGGCAATAATGCCATAGCCAAGGAACATGTAAGGAAATGGACCTGGCAGCAACAGGGAAGAGCACCTCTGAGAGAGACAGCGGCCAAGACCCAAGGCGTCAGAAAATCCCCTGTGCCTCGGTTTCTTCTCTGACAGCTGGAGAGGAAACACCTGTCGTAATGTTTAGAATTAACTGAAGATGTCGACCTGGAGCTGTTAGGTAATCATGCTGTATAAAACAGAGTATTTCTTACATAGCAGATATATTAATCAGTGCCTTTTAAGAAATTCTGAAGTTTTAAAAACATTTTAATCTAAAGTCATTCTCTTTTTCATTTAAACACACTGACTTGGCTCAAAACTGTAAAGCTAGTCTGAAGATAGACAACTCTATTTGTTCCCAAATGTGTATTTTCTCCATGATCCTCAAAATAGTTTTCCATTTTCCACAGCGCCTTTCAAATAATATATCCCTTGTCAGTAATCTCCTAAATAATACGGAACAGTGACTTTATTCTAACAGTTTAGATCACAGTAAAATCACTTGAGGAGTAATTCACCCTTTATTTGGGGGAAAAAAAGATTCAAACAGATTTGAGTACAACAGTTGCATTTTAATGAGGCTTATCATGTGGTCTTTGTCATCAGATCTGATGACTATTGTTCAGTGGAATGATTAGAGTAGCAAGTACCAGTACTTAATTTCCTAATAGAGTCTTGAAATGATCCAGGGCTCTGGATATGTATTTTGGGTCCACATTTTAATTTTATTACCCTACTAGGATTATTTAACTAAGGCTAAATCTGTCCTAACCATCTATTATTCTGTGTAACATGCTACATGAAGCTCATCGCTCAGTAACAGTAGCACTCACAACCCTCCTGAGATGTTTGTTTACCACACTGCACTGGGAGCTGGTTAACATTCCCCTACAGAAGAGGCTTGAATTACAATTATGTGAAATGTGAGGTTAAAACAAGAATTATATGGGCCAGAGAGCTTTATTTCTAGTTTGTCACTGCTGACAGTTTTCCTCAAGTTCATGTCCAGATCAGTTACTCTCTGATATTAATATTCACATTTACCCTTAGAAACACAGGTTCAGGCTTCTAAGATCTAATATCTTGGCATAAATCATGTTTTTCTGTGTTTCAAATAATATTTCTCAAAAGGTTCCTAAGAAACGTAATTTGGAAGTCAAATGAAGAAGTGCCATTAAACACCAGTAATGCATTATAATTCTCCTCTTCTTACCTGATGAAGTTTAATGGACATGCGGATTCCCGGGACTACAACTTTCCTTAGCAATTCCATGTCAGCGAAGATCCATTCATCTCGAATTGAAGAAATACGGAAATCTCCCTTAAATAGGGCATGCAATCCATAGAGGAATGACTCTAAATTACTGTTAGGATTGGAGATAAAAATTTACATATTTTGACAAAGAACTTCCATTACACTGATTCTTACATGTGGTTGTGCATCAGAATCATCTGGGAGTGTTTTGCAAATACAGAGTCCAATGACTATACTAATGTTAGAATCCCTGAGTCAGAATCACAAGGGACAGGGGCCCATTGATCTGGGGCCCTTGTTTACGAACCACTATAATAATAAGCCCATGAAAATAAACAATAGACAAAGAGTATATAAGTCACAAAAACTTAAATGGAAAACATGTAGTAATCACAAAAGAAATGTAAAATACACAGTATTTCTTAGTTCTAATTCATTCAGATGCATATGTCAAGAAATTCAGCTTATATTTGTATTCCCAAAAATCTGATGTACTATATTAACTATATTAAAAGCATAAATGCTCTGGACAAAAAAAAAAAAACTACAAGGAAATATGGAAAAATAAAAAGAGGTAACTCGTTAGAAAAATAGATGTAAAATGGGAGGAGACCAATCAAACTTTATGGGTGATTATTTTTAAAAATGTCTTAAATCCATTAAATTCTTATTATCAGTAGTTACCACACATGTGTGATTTTTAAAAGCCAGCTATTAACCACTTGGGAGAACTCAACTCTCAGAAGAGACTTTTGCAATAAATTAGCATAGAATGCTTCCATGAAAAGCTATTTCAGACTTTTCAGATCTACGTTATACAGCTTCTCCTACGCTCTTCCTGAAAACAGAAATGCCTTCCCTACCTGGACATATGGTGGGATGCGGTCCCCAAAGCTCTCCGTCCCAGAACGCAAAGTCCGTAACAAAGAGTCACCAGAGATGAATCTTTGTCAACATCCAGTGGCTTTAAAAAACAAAGAACATTAGTCATCAGAAAGGTATAAAGGTATTTAACAAATAGGAAGACAGTTAATAAAAATCAGAGAGGATGAAGAACTCAACTAAATTTCTAGGTCTTTAAATAGTCCTAATGACAAGAAACTTAACAAATCAGTTTAAAATGAAGTATGAATGTATACGAGGAGTTTCTCTGAAACCTTTAAATAAAATCTAATGCTTTATAATACTGGAACATACTTAAAAAAAAAACACCTGACTTTTATTAGGATCTTAGCAAAACATCTCAAAGAAAATACTTACCGGCATACATCATTACTGATAATGTCCTCTCCTGAAAATACAATATTCTATCTATTAATCAGTTGTTTATGGACATAAGCTGGAGGCAAGCTATCAGTGACAGCTGCATTAGCCTACTAGCGACTATACCAGAGTAAAGAAAACCAAATTGATGGTTATCTGTGGAATACTGCTTCCCCCCAACCTCTGAATTTTTTAGTGAGTGAAGGTTCTCTTACCCAGATGGTCAGAAAGAAGAAGGTCTGGAAAAACTGACCTCATAATAACAAACGGGGATATTCTTTCCATCTCTGAAAAAATGGACTCAAAGAGTTACAAATAAAGTACACAACCTCTACCTTCGCTCTTCGGGAAGAGCAATACTCTATCCAGTTGAGGTAAATCACACAGAAACTCTCCCTGGATATGCCAGCCAGTCGATGGTCATAGTCTTCATCAGTGTTTGGATTAAATGTTGGGTCCACATCAACATAATTTCGATCTGCACACAGACGTAGTCCTTCCTGCATTGTTTCATTCGCTAGCCACTCCTCCAGTTTAGAAGAAGTTGTAACATAGTAAATGATACCCTAAAGGGGGAAAGATTAAAAAAAACAAAGCAAAAAAACAAACCCAAGTTACAGTTTGAATTAACTCTAATTCCTCATTAAATAAATTCCAATAATTTATACTGATTGTATAACTAAAAAATATTTTATTCTAGCTCAATACTCTAAGAATACATTTTAGGAATGCCGTAAAAAATATACCTCAGGCCTTTCTGGATGAACGGTTATTTTAATACTTTAGAAGTCACAACCACAAATTCATCAAGACAAATTCAAAACAATTCTATTGATCTTAGAGCTTTTGAATTTAGGACATTTTAAGGAGAGGTAGAAAAATTTTACTGTGATGCATTTCTCATAGAAAGTTATTAAATCATCTTGTGATGCTAAGTCAAGTTATGGAAATATAATAGTAAAGCAATAGAAATATACCTACTTAGAACCAGAGATACAAAATGCCACATGCACACAGAGAGACACAGAGCACGTAAAAATTGCAAAATCACTCTATTTAGCTTCCTGAGGTTGGGTTTAACCAACCGTTAATTATAAGACTAACATTTATCCCAATCAGCACAAATAAAGTGTAGCTAGAGGTAGTAACACAGATATGGAAAATCCAGATATGGGTCACTAAAATTTAGCATACATTTCCCTCTTCAAAATGCTGGCTTTGCCTGCATGCTGCCAAATCATAGCTTGCTGTAATCTTGTAATATCTTCAGCAAAAACAGAACACCTGTATAGTAAAGAACAAACCTTGCCCAAGAGAGGTTTGGTCTTTGCCCTTGGGTGCTGGGAGGTATCTTCTATTCCCTTGCCTCTTCAGAGTCTTTGTTCCCCATGAGCTTACAGCCATGACCTCTGGAGGAGCTGGAAACTAAGGCTGGCCATGGGGGCAGTAAACCACACCAAGGTGACTAGACTCCAATAAAAACTCTACACACCAAGGCTCAGGTGAGCTTCTTTGGTTGACAACAGTCTGTGAGTACTGTCACACATTGTTGCTGGGAGAAATGGGCATTATCTGCACAACTGCACTGACAGAAGACAACTGGAAGCTCATGCCTTGGTGTCTCTGGACCCTGCCCTATGCGCCTCTTCCCTTGGCTGATTTTAATCTGTATCCTTCCACCGTAATAAATCCTAACAATGAGTGTCACGGCTTTGCTGTGTTTTGTGAGTCCTTCTGAACCAGAGACTAGTCCGTGGGGACCCAAAATTGCAGCTGGTGTTACAAGTGAGGGTGGTTTTGGGGACTTTCCAAATCTTGCAATACTTTTATTCAGGTTATTGAAAGCAGTGCAAAGCAGTGGTTAATAACAAGGGCTCAGGAGCTGGACATGCCTAGAGTTTAAATCCCTAACTCCACTTGCTAAGTAGAGGACACTGGGCAGGTAACTTCCAATTCTTGTTTACTTAAAAAACAGAAATGTAATATTCCTTCAGAAAACTGAGTAAGACATATATATGTATACGTATGCATATGCGTATTCCTTGGCCCAGTACCTAAAACATATAAGCTACATATGGCAGCTATTATTCATGAACAAATGAAATAAGATCCACTAAAGAAAGACATAGCAATACCTTAGTAGGTATACTTCACTGACTTAATGAATACTAGGGAATTTTTTTTTTTTAAATAGGCTCCAGCTGGGCGTGGAGCCCAAAGTGGGGCCAAAATTCACGACCCTGAGATTGAGACCTGAGCTGAGATCAAGAGTTAGACACTTATTAACCGACCGAGCCACCCAGGCGCCCCAATACTAGAGAATTTATATCACTACTTAGAAGCAAAGCACAAATATATTAAAAAAAAAAAAAGTCTTTTTCAAGAAGAACTCAGAACTGTCAGAAGATCTACCTGGGCACACATCCTTACCTTGACATAGTAAGTGGTGAGGACTTTCCGAAGATCAAAGACTTGAAGCATAGAGGCAGCACTATTGTCAGTGATACTATAACCCTCCAGAATATACTTAGTGACTATCACTTCCCAAGCTAGCCAGCGCTGGCTAAATGCAGCATTAAATGAAAGCACATGAGGAATATGGCCAGGTTCACAACAGCAAAATCCTTCATCTTCTTCAACGCCTTCAGTAATGGCCTCCACTTCCCGTTGTTGACAGTAAGTACCTTAAAGAGAGAGAGAGACTACTGCATACAAAGGAGAAAAAAAACCATATGAAGTAGAAAATGAATGCTTCAAAGACACAAGAAATTTAGGGGAAAAAAAACAAAACACCTTTTATAGTAATTGAAAGTATGTGATTGATTTGCCTTGGAATGTTCACTAACAAACTGCAGGAAGCTCCAGAAACTAGGCATATTATATACTCACTTCCTGCAGAATCATAACATGAATTAGCACATTAAAGGTTCTGAAAATTTGTGCAGTTACCTTCTTAATTTTCACTTACTGATCCCAAACTTTTCAAATTTGGGTTCACAATTGCATTCATATCAAATGAAGGCCAATGAGTAAAGGGACATCTCATGACGGTTTGAGTTCATTCAATAAGGGAAGAGTGGATTTAGAAGTGAATCATTGCAGGGCACACAATATAGACAGACATGCAGAACTCAAAAGAATGTGGGCTCCCTTTATCAGTACCATGTCCATGTGGCAAGCAGAAATATTATATACATATATTTGAATATATAAACTGTAATGGTTCATGCTAATTTTATCTTAAATCCATAATTACTTTTTCTGTTGCCAATTCCAACAGTAATTGGATAAAATTACATTATTAGCATTTGAAGCTTACCTGCTGATAAAGTTTCAATTAGGTATGAGCTCTGATTATTCAACACTAGGAAACAATTCTTTGAAGTTACATTCTTTTATACAAGATATCAAACAGACATTCTCTGCATTAGTGTTATTGAAGTAAAAATACAAAATCAGAATAAATACAGAATTACACCCACAGCAATCTAGTGCCAGTAAAATATCATCTGTCACATTAATGTTTATTTTGTTCTGTGGCCTTGCTTCCATTTAGTTAGCAAATTCCTTAAATTCTGTAAGGACTATTTAAGCAAATTCCTTAAATTCTGTAAGGGTATTACACTTAATTTTATAAATGCACATATTGAGGTTATATTTTAATAACTTATATGGACTTCACAATTTTTTTTCCTTTAAAGAGAACATATACACCATCCATGTTTGAAAAACACTGCTTTTTTTTTTAATATTTTATTTATTTATTTGAGAGAGAATACGAGTGAGGGAAAGGGCAGAGAGAGGGAGAAGCAGACTCCCTGATGAGCAGGGAACCTGCTGCGAGGCTTGATCCCAGGACCCCAGGATCATGACCTGAGCCAAAGGCAGACACTTAACTGACTGAGCCACCCAGGCACCCCTGAAAAATGCTGCTTTGAGAGAAAATGATGCCATGAATACTAAACCCAGGTGGTGGTGGTGCTATAAAAGAGAGGCAGAAGAGGTAGGCTGGGCCGGGCTAATGAGCTGTATTGTTTAGCACTCTAGAACTCTCAACAACTCTATGATTTCATTTCTTGTTTGATTACATTGTTGAGCACTTCCAGGACAATGTCACACAGTGGTGAAAAGAAAAACCCTGGCATGAACCAGACATTAACAGGAGTACCCGCTGCAGTTGATCATCACACATGATCATGACTATAGATCTATATATACAAACTTTTTTCTTTTTTCAGAATAAGGATATGTGTAATTTTATAAAGTATTTTTCAAACCAATAATGGAAATGAAATTCAAACACATGTCTCCTGGCATCTTCTGAGAGGATCATATTTTGTTGTTTTTCTCCCATAACCTATTAAAAGATGAATTCTATTAATTTGTTTTCTAATACTTAATTTCAAAAATAAAAATGAAATGACAAGTGCTCAACTACTGAGAGGTACTTAAAAAAAAAAAAGGACTGCTAATTTCTGCTTATTCTGGGTTCTGCAGATTTTTGCATCTAGAATCTCATGTGAGTTATACTATACTTTATTTTTTAGCCAGTTTAACCATAGTTTGGCAGCAGTAGTACAGTGGCTCTGTAAAAAGCCTAGAGAAGTTTTCCTTCTTTATCCATGTGCTAGAATAGGGTAGAGAGGGCCAACAAATTATTCAGTTTCTAGAAGAAACATCCTGAGGCTGGGGTTTTAAAATCATGGCATGAAGCTGGGTCTGTTCCTTAGATTCTATGTGTTATTACTTCATTGTATTCATTTTGTCATCTTTCTGGAAGGTCAAAGGTTTTTAAGTAAAGCAGATGACATAATGAGAGCTGTATTTTGTGCAGATCACTTTGTTAATAGTACATAGAAAAGATATGTGGCAAGAGGGAACTTGGAGATTTTGACATTTACTAAGACAGAATGAGATCCTTGTTCAGAGCAGAAGAAAGTGAACAGAGTAATTAATTAATGTGGGACGTTTTTACTCTACCATACAAATCCCAAGATTATTTTCTACCCCAACATGCCCTAGTAATACATTTTACTTAGGAAATGAAGTCAACGATAAGCATAGGAGTTAATATTGGCAACTGAAAAAAGAACTCTGAGACTCGGAGGGGGATTCTAGAATATCCATAAGGAACTACTACCAATTGTTTCCTGGACTAGCTATGTCTTTCAGTCACTTCATAGTGAATATTATCAGTAAAACTAAAACTGGCAGTTATGAAAACTAGACATGTTAAAAGTAATTTGAGTAAAAACCAAGAGGAATCCAATCAGCATAATACATTTTTGACCTATAAAGTTTGACCTGGAAAACTGTACTTGGTTGAAGTAACATTTACAAACAGAAAGTTAGCATTGTAGAAGCTTTAATAAAAAATTTTTGATAGACAAAAAATAACTGATAACTCAAATCTATGAGATAAAATTTACATGGAAAAGAATATTGAGAATATCAGTAAAATAAAAACGGAAATGAAATAAATATAAAGGGATTTAACCAAGACATACAGGAAACTGATCAAGAAATTTGTTTAGCTAAATGTCACATGACATTTAGCATTCACTACAAGATACAATAAAATCAATGAATTAAATTGGCTTAATGGAGAATACCCCAGAAAACATATCAAAATGCTCAGGGCATCCAAATATCTGCCTGGCAACATACTGACACTCTTGATCAATATTTTGAGAGGCAGGAGGTAGATGGGACAGGGAATAACACTTTGAAAGAAAGAAAATAACCAAAGATCACAAGATCTGAGCAAGAATATAATCAGACCTCATGAGAATTTTGGAATGCAGAGAAAGGAGAAACAGCTATATACCTACATCATTTAATCATTCTACAAAATTAACTAATTATTTATTTTATGCTAACTGATGAAACAGCAACTAGATACACAGTAATGAATGAAGCAGACAGGATTCCCGCCCTTGAGGAGCTTATAATCTACAGCAAAGGTTTGCAAAATACAGGCTTGGGCCAAATCCAAGCTAAGAATGGTTCTTATATCTTTAAAGCATTGTTTAAAAAAAAAAAAAAAAATCAAAGAAAAATATGGAACAGAAAATGTGCATGCCTCCAAAAGCCTGAATTATTTACCATCTGGCTCTTTATAGAAAAAGTTTGCCAACCCCTGGGCTAGAGAAGAAATAAACTTTAAACAAACACAAATAAATATGAAATTATGAAATTATAATTAAGCTAAGTGCTAAAGAGGTAAAAATGGCAATATGAGAGATAATCATGTGGGACAGGTGGTTAGAGGATTCTCTGAGAAAGTGATATTTAGGCTAAAGCTTAAAGATAATTAAGGAATTAGCCAGATGGAAGATTGGTGGGAGGAAGGGACATGGCTGGTACTTTCTAGGCAAAGAGAAAGGCAGTAGGAAGTCCTTAGTAAAGAATTTAGCACAGTTAAGACCCTGAAGGAAGGCCAGTGTGGCTAGAGTGAGTGAGGATGAAGGTATAAAGCGGAGTTGGAGAAACTGGCAAAGACCAGATCACAGTGTGGCAGAGCATGTTAAGGAGTTTGAATTCTATTTTAAGTGCAATGGAAAGCCACAGACAATTTTAAGCACGAAAGGAACATGATCAAATCTGCCTCAAACAAAAAAAAAACAAACAAAAAACCAAAAAAGCAACACTATGGCTGAGTGAAGACTTACAGATATCTCTTGCTATCCAAATCCACCACAAATTCAGATAGTAAAATATACTGTGTTCCCAAATCAGTTTGAGTTTTGTTTGGCAAATAGAATTTGAATGGCAAAAAATTTGTCCAAAATTTTATTTGAATCTACTTGGTACCAGAGATTGAAAGTTGGGAGAGTAAGGATTTGGATCAGTTTCTGATTTGGAGAATTTCTGACCAATATGGTGAAATGAGCACGTCCTAAGAAGGACCCTCTTCCAATTCACACAGACAGAAATGCTACATAAAACAGCTTCCCTACACAATGGTTTAAAAAAATAGAAAAAATACAAAACAAAAAGGTGAAATCTTCAGGTACCAACAATTTAAAAAGATGTTAAAGTCATGGCAATAGTAGGTGTAGTGGTGAGGTGAGGGGTGCTGACTTTCAGATGAGTCCAGCTGGATTCGATGTGAACACCAGGTAAGACTCTAGAGAGATGGAATTAAGGTCTTGGGTCTGAAGGAGAGGCAGAAACAAACCATAAAACAAGAATAGGACATTTTGAAAGAGAGAGATTGGATGACAAACAGATCACAAATGATAACAAACATCAACATTTACTGACTTAATTTGAGTGTCATACAAGTACAATCTTATTTCCAGTGAATGGAGTAATTTTAGAAAAGTACTTGTTCCATTAACAAAGGTATTACCTAACAAAGGTCCAAACCTTCCGATTCAACATCGGGATGAAAATAAAGCTATAGGGTTTAAGTCTGATTTGATCCTCTAGTTAGCCCATTTTAGGAGCCATCTTGGGCCTATCTGGTTTGAACTGGCTTCTTGTGGCTTTTTCGTTTTGGAGTACTGTCAGGATAGGCCTCTGACAGACTTTCCTAAAAGCTGGTCCTGGCTTCCTCTTTACCGATCTGTAGGCATCCGCTTAGAACCTAACCAACTGCCCACTCTAACAGCTGTAGAGCTCTGTGAATGCACTAAATGCCACTGACTTGTTCCCTTTAAAACTGATTTTAATGTTATGGGAACTTCACTTCAAAACCAAAATTTGTGGAAGACAAAGGCTTGGTATCTACATGAAAGTACTTGGTTAGCTACACACAAAACACGGCATTCTATGCTCCAGCCATCTAACAAATGAACGCAACTTCTCACAAAGAGAATAGCAAGAGAGCAAGCACAAAACAACAGAAATTAAACATCACCAGGAAAATAGTGAGTTATGCAAGAATGATGCTACCTTCACGTATTTTAGCATACCACAACAAAAATGATTTTTCTCTGAATGTGAAATTTGGAAAAAAATCTAATAATTGCTCTTTTAACAACTCTTCTCATTCCACAACTCCAAACGACCTAATTTTATGCTAATTTTTAATTTGAGATGTAAACACATAAAACTCAGATGTCATGGGAATACATTACAGAAATAAAAGGTGAGTATCTTACCTCTGAATTCAAGTCCCCGCAGCTGGAAAGTGACCAACCCATTGCCTATCTCTATAAGGTGTACTAATGCATTGAGGTAGTCAGAGGCAAGAATGAAACAGTCCCCTGTACTGTAGTTTCCCCATCGTCCTAGGAGCAAATCACCACAGAGACTGTGTTGTAGGGATCTGGTTAAATGTTCATAAAAGATGGAATTCAGATTGTTGTCATCTGATCCTATAAGAAGGAATTAAACATGTTACATTTTACCCTAAGTCTTCAGTATATCATTAAAATATTAAAACTAATTTCCAGTTAGGATTGTATCTTTATTTTCTTGACAAGGAAAATAATATTAACACCCTTAGAATTCCAATATAAAAATGAAACACAGGGTAACGAGAAAAGTTTCAGAATTTAGAGTTAGAAGTCACATAACTTCTCTGATCTCTGACCCCCATCCATAAAATGTGGGAACTAGATTAGATGAAATCTAAGGATTTTCACCTCTTCAATAACCATGACCTCTTCTATCACTATTCAATGAACTCCAACTTATAATGAAAACCACATAAGAGAAATGAACAAGATAAAAGGAATTCAGGATTAGAACAAAAAGATACATTAAAAAAGAAAGTGTGTAAAGGAATACAAAATTTGAACAAACAAGAGAGTCCAAAATGAATAGAAGCTGGTCAAAAAAAAAACAAACAAAAACAAAAACCCCAAAACAACAAAAAACCCCTGAATAATGAGATGGCTAAAACTAGCTTAATAGAAATAAACTATATATATAGAAACAGCAGCAAAGAACCTATAAAATTTATTAGAGTCATTCTTTAAGAAAAAAAATTGGGATAAAACTAGCCATCTTTAGAAGTAACCCATCCAAAGCAAAATCTGTAAACAGGTACCCATAGTATAATACTGGAGGAAAGCAAAATACACAAAGCTTACTATTTTAAAACTCAGCCTACAAAATAAAATAATGAAAAGGGTACTCCAGATACTAATTCAGTAAGATGGTCATATCTAATGCCCTGTCTGCTCATTTCAGAAGTATGCATATTAATTCAGGTCTTTTTGATATGCAGGATGGCCTCATTAGCATCATGAGAATTCTAAGCCCCTTATACATGGACATATTAGAGCTGGGATGGTTGTTTATCTACCAGAATGTGATAATGACAGGCATTATCAAGTAACTAGTCCTCTTTAATCCAATTTTATAATTATAAAACTATCTGATTATTGTTAATTTAGTTTCTCAAGTAGAACAGTTGAAGGAATCAGCATTTGAAGGAATCTTGAGAGTCAAATGGATACAAATGCTCCAGTCTACCTAAGAGTAAGATTTCTTTTAGTAAATTAATACATTGGAATTCTGGTTAATTTCTTATGGTTGGATTAGTGAGATTCACCCTCTGTGTGTCAGATTACTAACAGGTAGGTGGACAAAAGGATGTTTCCCAAATGATGAAACTAAGGAACCAGACTTTAGACAATGGTACCACCACCAAAATGCCATCCACTGAAACTCTACCTTGAGGGCCATTTGGCTGCCCCACATGACATCTCTACATTGAACAAACTAAATGAAATTAAATGAACATTTACCTAAACATTCGGGGAAGCGGGAGAAGCAAATATATTAATACACCTGTTGGTCAGATTGCATACTCTTTGATACACTTGACAAGTTTTACTTTAACTGTTCTACTTTTTAAACTATGTAAGAACAATCTTTGAATGGCATTTTTTTTATTCCTATGAACATTCTTAAAATGCATTTTATAAAAGATGGGTTACTTGAATTCACACTTTGCTAAAGCAGAACAAGAAGCAAAGGATATATAGTCTTTAAAAAATGACCACTTGGAACTCACAAAGGATTCCCAACTAGTTAGGAGTGAAATATATATATAACAAATTCCTTAGACTTGCTTCTTTACTCACAGAGCTTTTACCTGGATTTCTATCAAGCTGGGAAGCCAATCTGGTATTTGAATGATCCACCCGTTTTGTGCTGAAGAAGGCAAAACAGAACATTTTTGGTAACCTTTAATTAAAAAGGAGAAAACTGTACAATATAAATGATAAAGATTATCACTTCATGAATATCTCTGAGAAAAACCTATGATTGGTATATATTGATAAAATTCCACATGAGCATACTTTTAGGGGTAAGGATTTTTACTTGCCCACCTCCATCATACATAAACATAGCAGTTTTTACCTAACTGGTGTTTCACTGAACAGGGTAGAAAGACATTAATGAGTTTAATGCCCCCCCCCAAAAATGATCAGGATGAAACATGTGTCCTACATGCAGTTCTTAGAAATACACAGTGCATGAAACATTCTGTGCAAGGAGAAGGTGCATTTATTAATGTCCAGTGGTAGAGTGTTCTTAGAACAGTGGTTTCCAAAATATGGTCCACAGAACCCAAAGCAGGGGACTCAAGATCCTTTTAGGGAGTTTTCCAGATGAAAATGATTTTCATAATAATACTGAGCTGTTGTTCACTTTTTCACTGTGTAGACGACTGCATTAATGGTGCAAACGTAATAGTGGGTAAAGCTACGGGCGCTTCAACATGAATCAAGACAGTGGAACCAAACTATTTTGCACTGCCAAATATGCACAAGAAAAAATAAACAAAAATTCGAGTTTTGCTTTAAAATGTCTTTAATGAAGCAATAAAAAAATTAATTTTATTAAATCACAACCCACCACTCAGTAAAGTCTTTTTAATACTGTGTGTAGCAAAATTCTGCTGCATTTTGCAGTAGGATGGTTGTCTCAAGGGAAAGCATTCATGTAGTTACTTGAATTCCAAGCTGCACTAGCTCTTTTTTCATAGAACACCATTTTTACTATGATTATTCAGACTTACATACTTGACAAACATTTCTCAAAAATGAAGAAAGTGAGTCTGTCCTGTCGCAATAACAAAATTAAAGTTTCTAAGCAAAAATTAGAATTTGGGAAAATGTATATATATATTTATCAACAAGCTTGATAGCTTAGTAATACTTAAACACTTTTCTTTAGAGATTGGGGGGATATGAATGAATACATTTTTTTAATATTATATAATGAAATGTATCAAGATCTTGATCAAGATCGAGAATTGTTAAGATCTACATTACCCAGTGAACCAATATTTTTTTTTTTTTTTAAAGATTTTATTTATTTATTTGAGAGAGAGAGAATGAGAGAGCACGAGAGGGAAGAGGGTCGGAGGGAGAAGCAGACTCCCTGCTGAGCAGGGAGCCTGATGTGGGACTCGATCCCGGGACTCCAGGATCATGACCTGAGCCGAAGCAGTCACTTAACCAACTGAGCCACCGAGGCGCCCGAACCAATATTTTCTAAATGATCAATAAATGGGTAAAAGATCCATTCAAAGTTTAACAATTATCAGTGGATTTTGATGTAACACAGTTCCAAAAATTCATGGGGCCAAGGGCAGGCCGCCCCAAGATAGGCCACTTTGACATGAACATTATTTTGAATTAAAATCAATTAAGGGGCGCCTAGGTGGCTCAGCCAGTTAAGTGTCTGCCTTCGGCTCAGGTGATGATCCCAGGGTCCTGGAATTGAGCCCCGTATTGGGCCCCCTGCTCAGCAAGAAGCCTGCTTCTCCCTCTCCCTCTCTGCCTCGCTCTCAAATAAAAAAAAAAAATCTTTCAAAGAAAATAAAAAATAAAAGCAATCAAAACTCAGCAGATTCAGGAAAAGATCTTTACCTCCCCCTCAATTGCTTGCTTATATCACAAAGAAAGCTATTAACAGAGATTCCTCTTTACCTAAGAAACTTATCTACAAAATGGGGTAACCTTTGTTTTCCAAACACCTCCTTTCATCTTCTTGCTAATGACCTTTCTCCCCTTTGTATCCTAAGACCCTTACCCCTCTCCTTAATTCACAGAGGCATCATGTTACCTGTCTTTGGAATTTCCATATCTGTGTGGATTCCCCGTATGTGCACATTAAATTTTATTTTCTCCTGTTTATCTGTCTCATGTCAATTTGATTCTTAGTTGAACTGGAAGGACTTTGAAGGGCAGAGGAAATTCTTCTTCCCCAACAATAGATATGGTTTTAGACTCTATAATGCAACTAATTTTTAGGAACTACCATGTGTCGACTTTTAGTGAAGGATCAAAGAAAAATATCCACAATCATCTAAAAAGGCTATTACAATACTTCTTTCTTTTCTAACTATGTGTCTGTGTGAGGCCAGATTTTCTTCATATACTTCAACTAAAACAACATATTGCAACAACAGATTGGCTGCAGAAGCAGATAGGAGAATCCAGCTGTCTTTTACTGAGCCAGACACTAAAGAGATTTATAGAACTACAAAAACAGTGACACTCTTCTCACTGATTATTTTTGGTGATGTGGAAAACATAGTAATTTTCATTACAAAAATATTATATTTACACATAATGGATTTATTGTTGCTATTGTGAAACTAATTAATAAACATTTGAATTTTTCTGAGTGTTGATTTCTAATATAGTAACTATCTGTAGATAAAACCTGTATCAACAAAAACTCGTTGGAGACTTTAATAACTGTGAAGAGAGTAAAGGGGTCCTGAGACCAAAACTGTCTCCACAGACATTATTTTGGGCTCAATTTAAGTTAGCTGAGAAGAGAATATAAATAACACTGAAATTCATAAAAGAGAAACACCATGTATGGTTTTAGATGAAAGACCAGAGCAAAAGCTTCAAATCCCCAAGCTAGTCCATTGTTTAAAACGTGAGACTACTACTTTCATTTATTATATACGCTAACTTGTAGAAGTATAGAAAGAAAGGAAGCAGTCAAGGAGATGGCCTGTAGAATTAAAAAGTAATATAAGCTCTTTCTGAATCAATATGTTAATACATGTTAAGAGCCTTAATATGTTTAGGCTCCATGACTCAGTAATTCCTTTTGAATAATCTTTCTTAAATTAAAAAAAAAAAAGAAAAGAAAGAAATTTGGAGACATTACATAAAGGATAGTTAGCAGGCATCAGATGAAACATTTAGCCAAAGGAACTAAATCTAAATGGAGAAAATACTTTATGCACAAAGATGGTCATTAAAAAATTATCCTCTTGAAAAACCAGAAATAATCTATAGAAAATTTAGCTCTGCAAATAGCTATTTCTAAGAAAACTATGAGATAATTATGACTGCTATAATAAAATAACATTGTATAGCATAAAGTTTCAGAGTAGTATTAATGTGGGACCAACTCAAAGAAATAGCATTAAAAGAAAAAAGACAGAAAAATTAGTATATTCAACATAAACTAGGTTTTAAAAAAATCTTAGAAAAACTGGCAGAGAAAAATATAGTTATTGACTCTTCTAATTTTACACGATTTTGAAACTTTAAGAGCATTTATAATAGTTTTAGCAAAATATTTCAACACAAAAAATTATTGTAATAATTCTGTTGATAGTTTTTATTATTAAAGAATAGATAAAATCGGCTTTCAAATGTTTTATTGTACTCACTTATAGTCTCTCTCCCAGAATTTCACAGGTCGAACATATGAAGTGATGAATATTGCACTTCCCAGAAAGGGATTTAGTGGAGTAGAAAAAAAGGCAGATACAGCAGCCTGAACAAACAACATGGCTGAATCTATGAAAAAACTGGTTAAGGATTTTTAATATTCATTTCAGTGAGCGCACGCGTGTGCGCACACACACACAAATACATCTCACAAACATACTGTGCTTACAGCAATGAGAACAATGTGGTTCATCAGAGGAACACAAAAGAGGGTGTCATTGGACAATATAAGGGGGTACAAGCAGAAAGACACAGCCAGGAAAAGTACACCCTGGCATGATGCTTTGAAGGGAGTCAAATAAATATTTGCTAATATGTATTTGGTAAAAGTCCATACATTAACTCTTGAATAAATATGCTTGGGTTTAATTTTCCAAAAGATCAAACTAAAATTTACAGATACAAGAAGTCTGCTTTTCAACATCAATGTGGTCACTAACCTTTACTTTTATTTAGACAGTACTTTTAAGAAATGATAAGAATAGAAAATTTTAAACATAGTTCAATTACAATCATATGATTATGAAAAATGTACTTTCATTCAAAAATATTTCTAAACATTTTGTATTTATTTAAAAATTCCTAGACTTTAATGCTTACATATGTAAACATAAAATTTTAAATCAGCATTACTTAATTATAAAATCTTAATACTGTCCTCATGTTCAGACGATCTGTGGGTCACAAATGTTAACACAAGTTAAACAATCAAAATAGGTACAGACAGGGACTCAAAGGACTGAGAATATTTGATAATTTACCAACTAGCAATCTATATTCTATGCCTATAAAAGGTTATGCCTACAAACCAACATTCTCATTAAGGATGTGACTGCCCTTTCTTATACAACTTTTATTAGAAGGATACGGGGCACTGCAAAGGGCTGAGCAAAAGCATGGAAAGCAGAGCCCCATGTAATCTGCCATGGGGCAATGTAAGTGTATACAAACTGCAATTTATAAAGGAGTTCCCAAAGCTGTTGGAGGAAAAGAAAAACAATCAGTAAAAAACTTATCATCAGACACTTCAATTAGAAAATGAAAGACCTCTAAAATGTATTGTTTTTCTGATAGGAAAATGGCATTGAAATTATTCGCCATTTGATAAAAGGAAAAGACGTGTCAACTGCCAAAACACTGAATATATATTTAAGTGCAGACAGCTAGCTGATTTTTGGACTTGTGTTTCATCTGTTTAAAAAACTCTATGCCCGGGCACCTGGGTGGCTCAGATGGTTAAGCGTCTGCCTTCGGCTCAGGTCATGATCCCGGGGCCCTGGGATCGAATCCCGCATTGGGCTCCCTGCTCCTTGGGAGCCTGCTTCTCCCTCTGCCTCTCTCTCTCTCTGTCTCTCATGAATAAATAAATAAAAATCTATAAAAAAAACAACAACAACAACAAAACTCTATGCCCTCTACTGGTTATAATACTACTACTACAAGCAAAACATAGAAAGGTAGGAAATCTAGGTGTTTATAAAGCTTAAGAAATTCATACATATTTTTATTCCAGGACACATTTTCCTCAAGTTTAGTGCTTTGAAAACTGAGTATGTTTTAAATGCAATGTCAAAAGAAATTTGAAAGCAGCCAGGTAGGAAATAAAGTTGTAATACAGTTGTCACTGCCTGTCTGCCTAAGGATTTAGTAGTGCACATCAGGCATCTGTTCTTAATCCCAATTGTGATTGTCAATGGAAACACAATACACACTTTAATTTTCTGTAAATTAGGATTTGTTTTGTTGCTGAACATGTCTTCAACACTGAAACAGAATGACTGTGTTTGCACAAAACTGCCTCTGTAGCTCAGGCAGTGCGAGACCCACATCACAAAACAGACAGGATCTTAGGGGCAAGAGGTTCAAACTAATTCGGTGCCGTGATTCGGGCACTAAACACCTCATATTTAAATTGTTCAACAAATTGCAAATGAACCTGTTTAACTTCCAATTTAAAAAAGAAATTACAACTTCAACCAATTACAAAATGCAAATGGACGCCTGCATTCTTTGCCATGATTCAAAATTATGCCGGTAATCCTTAATGAGGATGTGATCAGGATGACAGAAGTAAAGGCAGCATTTAGATTATCAAGATGCCATTATAACTGCCTGAAAGCAGTACTTCAGAAAACTTCAAATTCTAAATGTGAACCAGACTGAACTCAAATTTTGACTGTAATGTTGAAGAAAAAATGATAACGCAATTACAAAGTTAAGTGGTTAGTGGGTAAAAGCACTTTTGTACACATTCATAGTAATTTCTTCCTGTAAGATTATTTAATTGGTGGTTCCTCTTACAATGATATCTTAAAAAATATATCGAGAGATCCCTTGAAAATTACTTGCTTACTACCACTGTTAAGTTCTATCAGCTAACCTCACATGATGCAAAGTCCTTAAAGGCAGAGCTTTCCCTCTGTGCTCGCTGATGTAGCCTAAGCATCTAGAACAGTCCTGGAGCATTGGTATGCTCTGAAGGACAATTTGCTTAACAAACAAAAGTATTAAGAAAATCCAAACTAATGCAAATTAAGTCTATTTCAGAGAAGCTTTCTATTTTACTGAAATTTTCACTTTTTTCCCAACCAGTATACAATTTCCAACCTAAATATTTAAATTTGTGAGAAACCACATGCTTCTTTATACAAACAATTCTTTGATTAACTTTCTGGCTTCCTCCTTTGATTAGCCATGCTCACTAGAAGAGGAAATAAATGATAAAAATGCATACAAATTAGTGATTGAACAAATATAACACTGCAGTATTTTAGAAACTACTTAGTACAGTATTTAGCCCAATATTTTGAAATTGACTAACACTAAAACCTTGTTCAGATTAATGGTTTTCCATTTGTACTGTTCCCATCCTAGGTTAGACCTCTATCACATCTAAATTACTGTCACAGTCTCTTAAACTGTTCTCCGTACCTTTAGGTTCTCTCTTCCCCAATTCATCCCAAATTTGGCTGACCAGGCTAACTTGCCTAAAACTGGGCTTTCATTGTGTTTTGTAGCTGTCATATGCTTCAGCTCTCTGTTACCTATCAAATGGGATAATATATGTCAAAGGCCTTTGTATGTGGTCAGTGTTAACATGAAATCTAAGCTCAATGTAACTTAGAAATAATCCGACTCACAACCTATTTCATTTAGAAAGGTAGTATGGTTCAGCAAAAAGATTCTTAGAAAGGGAGGCAGAAGACCCAGGTTTTGCCATCTCATTTGCAAAAGGACTAAAAGTACTTCTCTTAGGGGTGGATAATAAATCTTAGAAACATTTCATAATTTTCAGAGTATTCTGCAAATGTCAACATCAAACTAGTTCTGATTCCTCCCACACGGCCTCACTGGCCTCAGTATCTACCATCTTCATTCAGCTATCAGGTTATTTCCTCCCTCCATCTATCCAGCAGCCCACAGCCCAGTTCCATTATTACCATGTCTATTTCTAGAATTATTCAAAACCACACCCACTTTTGGAAGATCCTATATATTTAAAAATACATAGCTAATGGTGTTTCTCTAATTTTTCTATGTAACTTAATCTTATCTTCCCACCTATAGCAAGAAATATGTCTTTTATGGATCATAGTGACTAGCATTGTTTAGGGATTCTAAAATGCTCCTAAAATAACTGGTTGATTGAAGAAAGGTATTACTTAAAAGATAATGAAGCAAATGAAATGCAAGTAGAATCCTCACTAAACAGTGTATTAGTCAGGGCAATAATACTTTTTACAGATAGGGATATTCCTTTCAGTAATAAACTACCTTGTTGAAGAGTATGGACATGAAGAAGAGATCCAACAGCATGGTCTCTGAAAATGCTTCATAGTCAATTTTGAAGAACAGCACAGTAAAGATGACTGTGACATACTGATATGTAGGGCTGCTAAAAGAGGACCGTAGCAACTTCAGACCAGCAATGGTGATCATTAAAGCACCTAATCTATGATATAAAGAAAGCAAAACTCATCAATGACTGAGAACTTCAGAAAAATCACCATTTCATTAACTATGCTTATAAAATATATCTATCAAATGTAAACTTCTGAAAATGATTTATACAGCTAGGCAAATCGCATCCTAAAAAATAAACTATTATAGTATTTCCTTTTAACAATATGTAATATGATTCTTATTCCTTTATATAAATAAGCATGTTTAAAAAAATAAGTAACAGTATTGCAATTCTAATATATGGTTCTCCAGTTTCTGGATATTTTTATTGCTTTAGTATTAACCGCATTTAGCATATAAAAAACAGGTATTAAGGCTTACCCAACGCATACCTAGCCTAGTGGGTAGGCTTATAGGATGATTACACAGGCAAGTGACCACCTATATAGCCTGATTTACACAATGCACAAAAACAGACATCTCTCAAACTTACCACCTAATATTAAAAATTAATTTTATTTAATAAATGTCCTCTCATAAAATATTAGTTGAGGATAAGATGTCTGGAGTAGTGTGATACACAAGAGCAGAAACAGATATTCAGGCAAGGGAAGTTAAAGACACAATTTCACCTGAATTTTTTTTATCTCATAGTGCATTGCACCAAAGAGACAATTATTTGCTACTTGATCAATGTATTAGGACATTGCTTATGACAGCCCCTAGAAGTTAAACATAGATGAGAGGAGTATACTTACTCTGTATCCAGTTTTTTTGGACTAGCAATTGTCTCTGCACTGTTACTAAGTTCACTGAGAACAATCAATGGATAGATGATATTCTTCTCCACAAAAAGAAGCCACACATGAAGTTTCTCAAACCACATCATAGTGGCTGCATCTAACAAAGCAATATAAGGAGATCACATTATCTAATGTATAAAATATAGGCATACCTCATTTTATTGTGCTTTACTTTATTCTGCTTTGCAGATACTGCATTTTTTACAAATTCAAGTTTTATGGAAACCCTGTGTTGACTAAGTCTACCAGCACCATTTTCCAACAGCATTTGCTCACTTCATGTCTGTCACATTTTGGTAATCCTTGCAATATTTAAAATTTTTTCATTATATTTGTTATGGTGATCTATGATCAGTGATCTTTGATGCTACTGTTGTATCTGCTTTGGGATAACATGAACTGCACCAATATAAGATGGCAAACTTAACCAATAATGTATGTGGTCTGACTGCTCTGCTGACCAGCTGTTCCCCCATATCTCTCCCTCCTTTCAGACTTCCCTACTCCCTGAGATTGAAATTAGGCCAATTAATAACTCTACAATGGCCACTTATAAGTGTTCAAGTGAAAGAAAGAATTGCACATCTCTCATTTTAAATCAAAAGCTGGAAATGATTAAGCCTAATGAGGAAGGCATGTTAAAAGCTAAGATAGGAGCGCCTGGGTGGCTCAGTTGGCTAAGTGTCTGCCTTCAGCTCAGGTGATGATCCCAGGGTCCTGGGATTGAGCCCCACGTTGTGTTCCCTGCTCAGCAAGGAGTCTGCCCCTCCCCTTCCTTCTGCCTCTGCCCCAAACTTGTGTGCTCTCTCTCAAATAAATAAATAAAATCTTTAAAAAAATAAAAATAACATAAATAAAAAATAAAAGCCAAGATAGGCCAAAACCTAGGCCACTTGTGCCAAACATTCGCCAAGCTGTGACTACAAAGGAAAAGTTCTTAAAGGAAATTAAAAGTGCTGCTCCAGTGAACATACAAATGATAAGAAGGTAGAACAGTCTTATTGCTGATATGGAGAGAGTTTTTGTGGTCTGCACAGAAAATCAAACCAGCCACATTCCCTTAAGCCAAAACCTAATCTAGAGCAAGGCCCTAACTCTCTTCAATTCTGTGAGGCTGAGACAGGTGAGGAAGCTGCAGAAGAAAAGTCTGAAGCTAGCAGAGGTTGGGTCATGACGTTAAAGGAAAGAAGCCGTCTCCACATCAAAGTGCAAGGTGAAGCAGTAAGTGCTGATGGAGAAGCTGCAGCAAGTTATCAAGAAGATCTAGCTAAGATCATTCATGAAGGTGACCGCAGATTTTCAGTGTAGACTAAATAGCCTTCTGTTGGAAGAAGATGCCATCTGGGACTTCCATAGCCAGAGAGAAGTAGACACCTGGCTTCAAAGCTCCAAAGGCCAGGCTGATTCTCTTGTTAGGGGCTAATACAGCTGGTAACTTTAAGTGGAAGTCAGTGCTCATTTACTATTCCAAAAATCCTCAGGCCCTTCAGAATGATGCTAAATCTACTCTGCCTATGTACTACAGATGAAACAACAAAGCCTGGATGATAGCACATCTATATATGACATAGTTTACTGAATATTTCAAGCCCACTGCTGAGGCCGACTGCTCAGAAAAAGAGATTCCTTTCAAAAGAATGCTCTAAGCAATTTTACTAAAAGTCCAGGAAATTTGCTTTGAGAATGCATAGTCAAGTTTGATATAGAAAGCTTTTAAAAGCTTCAGAGTTCTCTAAACAAGTTAAATATCTCCAAACAATTGAAGAATTTACTATCATAATTCACTAACTGAAGAAAAAGTTTTAGGAAAAACCACTGGCTTGTTTAATCACAGATATATAATAAATGATGACATAGTTAGGAACTTTTATTATTTCTCTAAAATGAGGAAGTATGGTATATCACAGGTCATGGGGCCAATGAACAAAGACCAACTACTTACGACAGGAAAGACAAGTCTGGATTTAAAATGGACTGGACTTCTACCTCTTTTTGAGTCATTTTGTACTTTATCCCAAATCTGAATAAGTAACAACAATTACAAGTGTTTTAAACTTCTTTTCATCTGATCTACTCTTATATCCTTCTCTAGTAGGAAATAGTGTCACTGGTGGAAACAGGAACAAAGTTCTCTCTATTCCTATGCTTTGAGCTAAAAATATTTCAAATAGAAGTTTTAAGGAGAACTGGAGTGCCTATATATAGAAAAGAAAAATCAGGTAACGGGTAAGGACTGGAAAGAGAAGCCACAGACATGCATGGGATTCGTCAATGAGAGGTCTGTGAAGAGCACTATAGAAAGGAAGTAATTTTATTTTATGGAAGTTAGCATTGTGGCACTGACATTTATACTTCAACTGAAATTAAAGCATCCTGCAAAAGGTTTGACTCATTACAACTTCAAATCTAAGTATAACAAACACAAGCCAAAGTGTTACTTGATGATACTTATTTAACCGTCATCTGCTAAAGTTTAAAAAAAAAATCCGTAATATTAAAAAGAGCAGAGTTAACGAAATACTTACTCCGAACTTCGTACTGATTGTACTCCACTGTCTTCAGCAGAGGGTGGGAGAAGCAGTGCCATGGTAGCTGTTTTCTGAGTTGAGGCAACACATAATGGGTTACAAAACCCACAAAGCCGACCAATGCATACAATACATACTTGAGAGCAGGCTAAAAGAAGAATAAAATTAGGAAAATTAAAAGTGATTTTGAGATCCACAGAACTTCTAATTTGTCAGTTCCATTTTCTATTTATTAACAGAAAATAGCAAAGTCAATTTTTGAATCTAAGAACCAAACATTTGTCAACAGTTAACACTGCTTATGTGGCTTTTCCAAAATTTGTACCAGGGTTGCCCTTATGATCAATAGGTACAGAAGAAGTGGTGGTATGTCACATCTGACATCAATTATAAAAGACTGCAGCTTCTGTCTTGGGCTTTCTTTCTCTAGGACCACTGGCTCTGGGGAAAACCAGCTGCCATTTTGTGTGGATACTCAAAGCACCCTATGGCGAGGGCCACATGGAGAGGAATTCAGATCTCTGGCCAATGGTCATCAAAGAACTAAGGCCTGTTAACAGCCTTGGTTCATGGCAGCCCCATATGACTGCAGCATCAAACACAGCCCGAACTGGGATCATCTAGCTAAGCTACAATCAGATTCATGACCCAGAGAAACCATGAGAAAATAAATATTTGTTGTTAAAACTGAATAAACGAAAAGTCATAAATTTCAGCATTATGGACAAATATTACAATCAAATAAAAAAATGAGTCTGAACAGTTATTTTCCCCCAATCAAAAGATCAAAATGATTCTTTACCTGCAATACTGTGAACACTGTGCTTACATGAATAGCAAAATATAGCACACCAATTACAATGCATACTACTAGGTCAGACTGTAAACGCTCACTCTGTGGAACAAAACAGAATTAGCCAACAGTTACATAAAATTTAAAAATATGTATTTCTTCCATTCCCACTGACAAAGTAATAATTCTTCATTGATCCTATTCTTCTAGATAGTTCTTACATATAATAATTGGCTATAATAAGTATTTTCTTCCCCAATTTCCTTATATTCTGGTTTTGACACTATAATACCAAGGAAATGAAACTAGTTCTACACACTGTATAACATATTAAAACAAAGTCTTTTATTTATTTTATTTTAAAAGATTTTATTTTTACATAATCTCTACACCCAACATGGGGCTCAAACTCACAACCCTGACACCAAGAGTCCTATGCTCTACTGATTGAGCCAGCCAGGTGCCCCTGTAACAAAGCCTTTTAGAATGAAGACTTTTTCCCCCATCAATCTGTAAATTTGATTTTTACATACGGGAAAAGGAAATGAGGTACTTAAGTCAATATATCAGTTACAGAGGATACTCTTTTGGATAACAAAGTTATATTTTCATTGGTTTTTTAAAATGTTGAAACTGCATGTCTTATTTTACTTACTGGATTTTGATTCTTTTAGTGGTTGCAGTAAACCAGAAACGTCTCAATATCTTGACTGATCATCAACTGACCTGCAGATTTATGCTAATTTTAAGCTAGATTCAGACATATCTTACTACATTTAACATGAAATGTCATTTGCTAACATGGAAACTAAAGTCAGAAAAAACTGTTTGAATGCTATCCTGAAATAGTTTTGTATTACTAAAGTTTCTGAGAATATGTGAACAGCTCAAGTTCAGTAAAGGTAAATATTATAACTAATTCAAGACCTATATAAATTTAGTTTTTCACAAGTAGAAATAATCTAAAATAACTTAGAAAAAAATGTTTTATGCTTTGTCCATAAAGCAGATATGAATCCATAAAATTCATTTTTCAAGTAATTACTAAAAGAATACAGACAATATTGAATTCACTAAACAAGAAGATTTTTAAATTACTACATTTTCTTAAATATATTAAATTAGTACAGATAACCGCTCTCTCCTTCAATCTGAAAAATAAACACACATATACTTTTCAGATGGTCCTAAAGGAATAAAACACACTAGAAGACCAGCAGATGATTTACAAAGACATAGTTTTTATCAACAAGAACAATAACAACAAAATCTAATTTATGTTAAAATATGCATCTTTCAAATCCTAGTTTAAACTGAATGGGATTAAGAATTCTATAAACAATGAAATTACTTCATTTCACCTAATTTGAAAATGAATGTTTAGCATACTCTTTTACATAGAAACAACCTTTGAAGAATGAGCATTTAACAGGTTAAAATGTGACATAAAGGAAGTCAACAATATACACCTATACATACATTTTCCCCAATTACAAAGGCCTTCATTATATAAAATGATGAACTGTTTAAAATTTACATCTTTCAGGTGATTGTAAAAAGCTAAAACTTACAACAGAATTTCTAAGTTTTTCAGGCAGTGGATCTTTTACTTCAGACAGAGGGTCTTCTGGATTTTTCTCTTCTGTTTTTGGAAAAATCTTGGATTGCACCAAAGAGCTTTAAATTAAAAAAAGAAAAAGAAAGAAAAAGAATTAATAAAGAACACAATTCATAACGTGAAAACCAGTACTTCAAATGACAAATGAATTTTATAATAAAAAATCAAGTGTTCAGGGGTGACTGGGTGGTGCAGTCGGTTAAGTGTTCAACTCTAGGTTTCTGCTCAGGTCCTGACCTCAGGGTCCTGAGATCAAATTCCACATTGGGCTCCCACACTTGATGAGGAGTCTGCTTGAGATTCTCTCTCCCTTTGCCCCTCCCAATCATGCATGTATGCTTACTCGCTTGCTCTCTAAGATAAGCATTCCAAGTATATTTAATCATTAGCAAATGATAATGTCTAAAGAGTTTACAATGCTATAAATAAGCATACAAGGAGAATATTTTTATTAAAATATATTTTTAATACTTTTAGGAGAGAAAATGCTAACAAATATTCCCAGCCAAACTGGTTAGAATGATCCAATGTTAATATATTTGAAACCCAATATAGGTTAAGTCAACAGCACTTTGACAAGGTAGTGGGAAAACAGATCCTGAAAGTTAAATTTGAAGAAATGTGAACTTATTTAAATTTAATTCAATAACAATTGATTTCACTTACAATAGTACAGATGGATCACTGCTTTGTCGGCTGAGATGATAGGATACTGCCACTAATAAACCACAAAAAATGGAGAAAAGTACTGGAATATGCTGGCCATCCCAAGAATCCTGTTGGGAAAAAAGTTTCATAGAACAATATGCATCTAATTTATCATCTATCATATAATTCTTTTATGTCAGTATTTTGGAGGAAGATAATTAAAATTACCAAAAACTTTTTAGCTATATTATTAATTGTATTTTATTCCAGATAAATTTAGATTTAGTACTTTCTGACCATCTTCAGATTTCTTTTGGTACTAAGTTCTATTTACACGCTAAGGATAGTGCATTTGCTTCTGATACATGCTGCTGTCAATTTCTTTCATATTTCAAGTGGTATTAAGCTTATGGTAAACTACATTCTCCCTTTAGAAAAATGAAATAACTTGGTGCAACACGTTTGATTATATATAATAATGGAGTAGGGAAAAGGCAACACGTGGTACAACACATTAGATAAAACAGAAGACACATTGCTGTGCTTTTATCCTGATACCTTTGCTCATAATATGCCATTGCTTCATTATCTTCCAGAAAACTCAATAGGCATTCAGTGCTCTTGAATAATAAACTGCATATTCCCCAAAATAAATAATGCAAAGGCTAGCTTCTAAAGTCAACCAAACATGTGGATGTGGATATGTCATGTCATGTCTGCTCACTGCAATATTTCTGGAGTCTAATAGCATGGTACTTGGTAAAGAGTAGATAATACTGATAAAAGAATAGTTAATAGTTCTTATGTATGGCCACTGAGTAAACAGCATTCTATTCCTTCTTCTTTCTCTGGGATTCAAGAAGGGGAATCCAAATAGTAGCTTATTATACAACTTGTTTTTTTTTTAAATAATAAAATCTTGAAAATTGTTACACATCACAACACACAGACCTTTTTGTGATGGCTACATCAAAATATCATTATCCTCATATTGACCGTTACGTGTCAAGCCCCATTCTTAGATCTTTGCTAAGTATTTCCTAAACAATTCTTTTTTCACTTTATTTAATTTTTTATTGTTATGTTAATCACCATACATTATTAGTTTTTGATGTATTGTTCCATGATTCATTGTTTGTGTATAACACCCAGTGCTCCATGCAGAGCATGCCCTCTTTAATACCCATCACCAGGCTAACCCATCCTCCCACCCCCCTCCCCTATAGAACCCTCAGTTTGTTTTTCAGAGT